CTGATATTTTCAAGGGAGAGGGATCCAGAAGCGTGTAGGGAAGTAATAAGAAGCAGACAAAAACCCTAAAAGTTGTCTTCCACTAATAATCAAGGTTATTAACGAGTTTTTAATTAATTAATCAATCCTTATAAATGGTTTAAAGAATCATTGGTTTCTTATAAATGGGACCCACAAGGAAATCGACTGTCCTAGGAAACTGGAATAAGAAGAGGTTTTCGAGTTTCGAGTGGGTCCATGAACTCTACAAGTTTTTGTGGGAAAAAATGACTCAGCTTATTTGATTATGACTTTTTCACTAAAGTCCTGATTATAATTTCTCTATCACAAGAAGAAAAATTAAAAGGTCTTTAAACTAATTTCAAGTCGACCCGTTAATATTGATCACACGAGTAACACAGTTTTGTTTTATAGGCTTTGTTGTTTCCATAAATTGAACGGTACGTCGGTAACGAGTGACGACCACACGTTCGAATAGGGACAAGAGTTTTTACCTGAGTTATGTGGCTCACAATTTACTAGTTTTTGGTCATTACATGTAATCGAATATTATTGTATAAATAATATCCGAACCGACTTCTTCGCGCAAGTTACACACATTCGAGAGATTTTTAGTTCATTTTTTTAGGTTGGCAATTACGTTTATAATTTGGTTTTGGTTCCAATTCTATCAGTTTTTATATAAACTAATGAACCCCTTTGTATATATATACGCACATTCGTTAGTACCAATGAACTCAAATTACCCAAACTTGCATCCAAATTTATATGATAAACTAGATGAAGGCGGATTTTGTAATTTGACATCTTATAAATTTGTGAAAAATAAAATATTTAATTGTACAAAACAAAAATAAATTACATGTTAAAGTAAATAAATTACATGTGAAAAAATTGTTGTAAACCCACTAATTGAGAAACATAACAATTATTTATTAATTTTGATACTTTTATTATTTGATTTAAAATGAAATTTTATCACATATTTTCAAATCATTAGTTTTCTTATTCATATTAAAATTAAATTAGGTGTAAATTTTTTTTTCCTTATTTTACTACTCAAATTTCTATTTTTCAAAATGTTGATAAATTTATTTCCATATTTGTATTTGAACAATTATAATTCTCGT